TGGGCAAGGATCTTTACACTTTTGATTAATACAGGCAAGATGAGAGGCGCATTCACTATTGCTGACACATTCCGGACGACAGTTTGGTGGGGTACCGATAAAATCTAAAAGACAAGAACAAGATGGCGAGTCTCCGATAGCTTTACATTGAGCATTCGGGCCACAAGGATTTGGTTGACATGGATTGGTCGCTACTACAGGTTCTTCTCCTAAAATGTCATTATTTAATTAATTATAAACTTCTATAAAATATTACTATTTAAATATTACTTATTGGTAAACATCTAGTAAAGGGATCGCCTGTTTGACTTGGTAGACAACTGCAAATAGGATTATGATTAACAACTTGGCATTGTGCATTTAAACCACATGTGCCTGGGCAAGGATCAATGCATTTTTGATTAAGACACGCTTTATTTAGAGCACATTCGGAACTAGTAACGCATTCCGGCCGGCAGGCTGGTGGACTTCCGATAAAACCCGGTACACACGAGCATACCGCTTGGCCATTAATTTCACGACATTGGCTATTGGGACCACATGGCGAAGGTTGGCATGGATTTTTAGGAATCTCAACTGAAATGTAATAGTATAATTAATAAAGATTAAAGTTATGTCGACTTTAATAACTGTACCTGGAATCTTGGAACAAATAACGAAAGCATTTCCTGTGTATCCTGTCAAGCAAGAACAAATTGGAATATGATTAATAACTGCGCATTCAGCATTAGTACCACATGTACCAGGGCAAGGATCTTGACATTTATTTCTAATGCATGTTCGATCTTTTGGACAATCAGCGTTAAGTACACATTCAGGTCTGCATCCACGATAAGGATCTCCTTGATATTCTGGAAGACACGTACAAACCCCATCATTGCATCGAGTATTAACACCACAAGGAGAAGGATTGCACGGATCAGTTTCTACTGGTTCTGGTAATGCAGGTGGTTTAGGAGAACATAAAGTAAACGGATCACCAATATATCCCTCAATACAGGTGCATATTGGTGTGTGATTAATTACAGAGCACTGGGCATTAGTGCCACATGAACCTGGACATGGATCTCTGCACTTCTGTTGTATACAAGCCAAGTTACTGGAGCATTCAGAATTAATAGTACACTCTGGACGACAGTTGGGTGGGCTTCCTATGTATGTTGGTAAGCAGGAACATGACGGATTTCCACCGATATCGCGACATTGACTATTTGGTCCACACGGTGAAGGCAAACAAGGATTTTGGTCATAAATCGGTTTTGCTGGTTCTGGAGGTGGTATGGCATAACATCTCGTAAACGGATCACCCGTAAATCCATTCGTGCAACTACATATAGGGCTATGGTTTACTACTTGACAGTTTGCGTTTAATCCGCACGTTCCAGGACAAGGATCAGTACATTTTTGATTAATACATGCTTTTGTACTGGGGCATTCTGTGCTCACAGTACACTCAGGTCTGCAACCAGGGGGACTACCGATATAATTAGGCAAACAAGAACACACTGCTTGACCGTTTACTTCGCGACATTGACTATTAGGTCCACAAGGTGATGGTTGACAAGGAGTACCTTCATCTTTCGTTACTAAAAGTAAGAAAGTTAAAAAAAAATAATTTTCTTAGTAATAATTCTTACCTTCAGGGGGTATTAAATGACAGAATCGGAATGGATCGCCAGTGAATCTTGGTAGACATGAACAAGACGGTAAATGATTAACAACTTGGCATTCTGCGTTCTGTCCGCAAGTGCCTGGACAAGGGTCTACGCATTTATTTCTCAAGCAAGCTTTATTGGACGGACAGTCGGAATTAATAGTACATTCTGGTCTACAACTTTCGTAGGGATTTCCGATAAATTCAGGTAAGCACGAGCAAGTTCCGGCACCATTTTGTTCTCTACAAACAGCATTTGATCCACATGGCGAAGGTAAGCAAGGTGTGGGCCTTTCAACAGGTATAGGTTTCACTGTAAATTGTACATCTGTTTTATAATACCGATCCAAAATATTAAAAAAAAAATGGTGTGCACTATGTGCGCATATTTGAAGTGAAACTTCTTACTAACAACTATTAAATTGGAAGATTTGAAGGATATCTTTTTTGAATACTTTTTATAAACTTCAAAAAAAAACAGAGTTAATATAAAACCGTATATATAGCTGTGACCGTTAAACCAAAATACTACTACATCTATATCTCTAACTACTAGTAACTGCTTCTAACCAACAATTTGTTTTGTGTGATCTGTGATCTGTTTTTGTTTAAATGTTTTGTTCATGTTGGCGATTTATTTTTAAGTTAATGTTAATCGTTAGACAACCAGTAAACTCGTAGAATATGTATTTCTTTTGCATAATCAATATTGTCACTCTAAATTTTACATAACCAAATTGTTACTCTAAATCGCTATCTAGAGTTACTAACTCTAAATTCTAATTCTGAGCTGCCAAATGAGCTAGAGGCTTTACATAGACCGTTATTAATAAGCTACAAAGTTATCGATGAAAATGTGCATGAAATCAAGGCTGATATAGTAAGTATCAAGTTTATTATAGTGATTTTCTTAGCAGCGTATGGCACAGATCGTTGCCACAAGCTTATTTTTCATCCCGAGATAGCGGGGTTAAATTGTTTTACAAAGGGGTAGATCTACCCCGAATGGGGTAGCTGTGGCAACACTGCCGCTATCACTTTTCTTCTCGCTAGCTTAAAGAAGTTTCACTTCAAAAATACGTTTTAATTATATTTACTTTAAGAATGAAAAGTGTTATTGTTTATTAAAAATATTACTGTATATTAATGTAAAGTACCTTCTAAAGAGCAGATAGTAAATGGATCTCCAGTAAATCCAGGTAAACATACACAATTAGAGGTATGACTAATAACTCGACATTCGGTGTTTTGTCCGCAAGTTCCTGGACACGGGTCTTTGCATTTTTGATTTATACACGCCAAATGATTGGGGCATTCACTATTGCTGACACACTCTGGTTTGCAATTGGGCGGTTGTCCAATATAATTTTCCAAACAAGAACACGATGGAGATCCGTTTATTTCTCGACACTGCGCGTTTGGACCACACGGAGAAGGATTACAAGGATTCTTGTATTCGACTGGTACTTGTTCTAAAATGGTTATGTTTGTTAGTTTAGAATTATTCTTGTTAGAGTTTGTCTTACGAATTTGTGTGCATCTAATGAATGGATCGCCAGTGAATCCGTTGGAACAAGTGCATATCGGATTATGATTAATCACTTGACATTGGGCGTTTATGCCGCAGGTGCCTGGACATGGATCAATACACTTTTGATTAATACAGGCTTGATTTAGGGGACATTCGGAACTAGTTACGCATTCGGGTCTACATGTAGGTGGTGATCCGATGAAGTTTGGTACACAAGAACAAACAGCTTGTCCATTTATCTCACGACATTGACTATTTGGTCCACATGGTGATGGATTACATGGGTTTTTAGGTGCTTCGGCTAAAACGTTTATAAGTAAGGAAAAAATTCTTTTAAATGTCTTAATGAAAAACTAAATAGAATCCGCCAAAAAGTTTGCAATAAATTGTGTGTTTATTATCAAGTAAAAACCCTATGTTGAATTAGATCAGCAAGCTCAATAACGTATATTATGTATGTAAATCCAGTAACGCAGGCACTTTACATATACATATACAGGGTGGTCCGAACTGTATTCCGGAAACTTTGGCAGCATATTCTGCAGAGAAAAATAAGTAAAGAAGTTCGTATAAATGTATGTATGTCTAAAAATGCGTAGTTTCGGAGATACAGGGAGTAGAAGTTTTATTTTTATTTCGATTTTTTTTCCAAATAATTTCTGAAGTAACGTCAATATTTGGATGAACATTAGTGTCTGAGGTTTTTGACATGAGAAATTTGATTTTGATGTTGATATGACTCCTAGTTGTAGAGGGCGCCACCTACATATTTTTAACTGGTTTGATTTGGTTTGGTTTAATTTAAGACTAACAACTTTTAGTCCGTAACTGTATAAAACTACTGAGTAAAAAATATACATTTACGACGTTTTTTTCTTAAAAAAGGTCTCTTAGTAAAAATCGCTACGAGTAACGGTTCTCGAGAAAAATTTATCAATACCTGTCATAATTGACATAAGTTAAACATGTTGACTAAATAGTTATTAGACTGAAATAATAAATTTGAAATATTTTTGTAATAAAAGTTCAATAGAAACTGTTTTATCAACGTTTTTTTCGATAAAAAATTATGGTTAATTTAAGAAAATAAAAAGTTCCCAAATTTATCATTTCAGTCAAATAACTATCTACTCATCATGTTTATTTCTTGTCAATAATGACATGTATTTACTATTTCCATTCTCAATATCTTGAGAACGGTTGTAGAGATTTTTACCAAGAGACATTTATTACGTAAAAAAATCACGGAAATGTACATTTTTTCAGGTGTTTTATACAGGTACGGACGAGAAATTATTACTCTTCAAAACAGTTAAAACACATATCGGTGGCGCCCTCTACAAGTTGGAGTCATATTGATATCAAAATCAAATTTCTCATGTGAAAAAACTTCCAGACACCAATTTTGATCCAAATATTGACGTTACTTCAGAAATTATTTGGAAAAAATCGAAATAAAAATGAAATTTCTATACTCTGTATCTCCGAAACTAAGTATTTTAGGACATACATTTATATGAAGTTTTTTACTTATTTTTATCTGCAGAATATGGTGCCAAAGTTTCCGGAATACAGTTGGGACCACCCTGTATAAGTGGTGGGTTGAAGAAAATGTGAAATTTTATCAAAAATGTTGAAAGCTACCACAAAAGTAACTACCTAATGATATTTTGCATTAAAAATCTATTGAATAATAACATCGGGAAGAAAAAATTAAAAAAGTAAATTATTATTATCCTAAAAACTGTAAGTTTTAAAATATAATTCCGATCTTGTAACTTATATTGTAATTTTTACTATTTGTTGTAAACTTTTTGCCGGTCACTATTATATCAAATTTTCTCTTACGTGGAATCCGTGAACAAATCACAAAGGCATTTCCTGTATATCCGTCAATGCATGAACACATAGGAATATGGTTTATTACAGAGCATACAGTATTAGTTCCACAGGTTCCAGGACAAGGGTCAACACACTTATTTCTGATACAGGCTCTGTCCCGTGGACAGTCACTGTTTAAGACACATTCTGGCCTACATCCTCTGTAAGGATCACCCTGATATTCAGGCAAACATGTACATATTCCATTGGCACATTGAGCATTGGATCCGCATGGAGATGGATTACATGGATCAGTTTCGACAGGTTTTGGAGCCTCGGGAGGTTTAAGGACACAATTAACAAACGGATCACCGGTGTATCCGTCTGGACAACTACAAATCGGTGTGTGATTTATTACAGAACATTGAGCGCCGAATCCACAAGAGCCTGGACAAGGGTCTGAGCATTTTTGTCTAATGCAGGCTAAGTTACTAGAGCATTCTTGATTGATCACGCATTCGGGTCTACAGTTGGGTGGATTTCCAATGAATGTAGGCAAACATCTGCATATGGGGGATCCCTGTACATTCTGACACTCTGCGTTAGGACCACAAGGTGATGGTATGCATGGGTTAACTTCTTCAATTATAGTTGGTGTGGGAGCTAAAAGGGTGAATTTGAAAATATCTGATTGAAGGAAATCTATCTATGGAAATTATAGTGTTTACAGTAGAAACCCCGCAATTTACAGGATGTTTCAAAATTGAATGCTGTATTTTTGTTAATTTGTCACTTGTTTCACAAAATTCTAAAATGTAAATATTCTATTTTACCTTGATTAATAATCATAAATAAAGTCTGAATTTACGGTAATTATTGCATAAACGGTTTTCGGCTATTTTTGGATTATATGGAAAAATAATTATATACTCACATTCTATTATCCTAAGGGATTAAAAATATACTGGGGGAGGAGTAATTATATTTTCAGGTCGTTGTAGTTTAATTGATAACAGATTGGAATTTGATAATAGAAATTTCCTTTGTGTAAAATATGTGCCTACATAATTTCAGTAAACAATTTTATTAACAAGTCATGTAACTTTAATAAATCTGTCTTCACGACTAATTTGCTTTAGAAAAAAATTACATGATTATAATCTAATGGTTAAAGAAAAAAGAAACAATTTAATTACAATAGTATCTTATGCTTAAGAAATAAAGTTACAAGTAATGGAACTAAAGTTCGGGTGAAAAAAAAAACAAACTGATTATCATATACTGACATATTATGAAGTATAAAATTTGTTTATACGACTAATTTGCTTATAGTGGTTTAAGTACAATGTTCTATATGTTCTTAAAAATTACAATATTCCTTTATGTTTAAGGCATACATTTGCAATTAATTGGACCAAATCAAGTCTGGGTGGAAAAATGAAGTTAGTATCATGTATTGACAAATTATGAAGCGTCTAAACGAAATCTCAACTACAGCGAGACTTTACTACCTACTTTTATACTTCCCGGTCCCGTAAGATTGTTTGGTTGAAAAAATACTTAAAGAAACACAATTTCTCTCCTCCCCCAGTATATTTGCAATCTCTAATTACTAAAATAAAAAATTAAAAGCAACGAAAGAAAAATGGAAGGACAGTAGAATGTGAGTATAATATACATTTTTTTCCATATAATCCAAAAATAGCCGAAAACCGTATATGCAACTGTTACCGAATTTACAAGAAACGAAAGAGTTAGCAATACAATTTGATAGAAAATTATGATCAACTTCTGATGTTAGTAAAATTTACAGAGTGTACCATTTAAATCAAACAAGTATATAGTGCTTTTTAAAGCTAGTAATTATTTAGAATTAATCTACATTCGGAACCTCGAAATTAGTGGTTTTTATTAGCGTCAAAATTTGTTCCTCTAACAACGTCAAAATTAATGGTAGTAACTTTCAATTAGTAGAAAAAAGTTAACAAACTTTTAACTTTTGCCACTAACCATACTTTAATCTGCGAGGAATGCCATTTTGGTCTTTAATTATCATCCTTCAAGAGAAATTGTGGTTAGAAATCAAAAGTTTATTGTTTTATAAGCAAAATATTAGGCTTTCTCTATAGATAGAACTGACTTCCTGTTACTAGTATATTATATTAATTTTAATTGTGTATTTAGACATTGTGAATGAGCGTAAACTAAAAAATATAATTGAGACCACTAATTTATTCCACTAATTTCGAGATTCTGAATGAAGCTTTAATTTTTGACACCCTATCTAAACTAGTAGGTACTATTTTTATTATTGCAGCACAATGTTTAAAGAAAAACTCTAGTTTCAGTGCATAATTTGATTTCAATAACTTAACTTTAATAAGCCAAGAGAAATGAAGCTTTAAAATAGTTTCTGTCTTCACACAAATTGTAAATATTTAAAAAGATGTTATGGTTATGTAAGGTAAATGTTGAAACAAAATGTATCTTTATCTTAATCTTAGAAACCAAAAATTTAATAATATACAAGGCGTGTATATATTTAATATTTTTATTTATTTGGCACTCTGTATCTTTTGAAAATAATTCTAAATTGTAGCTCTACTGGTCCTTGAAAGACCTAAGACTTATAAAAAAAAATTAATCTTTTAGCTCCGGATCGAATAATATGAATGGTCCTGTGTAATTGGTTCTATTTAAAATAACCAAATTGGCAGCTACTTCCGGTTATACTAAAAGTGCCAGTAAGACAAAAATATTTTAAAAAGTATATCTTAAAATATATCCAGTTTAGTTTACTACCATTGACAATGTCTAAAAATACAATTAAAATTAATAGAATACCTAGAAACAGCTTGCGGTAGTCAGTTGTATCGTTGTATCCATAGAAAAAGCTTAATAATTAGCTTATAAAACAATAAACTTTTATTTCTAACCACAGTTTTTTTAACGGATGATAATTAAAAGCCAAAATGGCATTACACGCAAATTCTGAATTATCTCTGTTTTGAAGTATAATTAGTGGAAAAGTTAACTACTGTAGAAATTTTAAAACATTTTCCGATGCACGTCATCAATCACATCGAAATTGACACTAAAGCCTACAAACCTGAGTAAATGAAATTTTAGCAAAAATGTTTAAATTTGTTGACTAATTTAAGATACCAAGCAGCTCTTATTATACTTTATAGAGCAAATGATTGTAACATATATTTTATTTACATTAAAGCTGCAAAAATTAGTGTAAACGGATTTTTATTATCGCCTTGTTGGTCACATTGCGCCATGTTCAGCAATGTTGTCGTGTATTATTTGAAAATTAGCCTAGTGTCAGTCATTATTTTGTATAATATCGTGTTGTTGAATTTTTGGGAGTAATTCTCGTTTTTTGCCGTTTTTCATAGTTTTTTTTTCTTAAATCGTACTTCTAAGCACAAACAGTTCTTTTAAGAACTAAATTTTTGAGATTTTTTTTGCATTTTTTGAAATTGTGGAATGAAAATATGCCGAAGCCTTTAAACAGTCGAAGCAAAGCGCTTGTCGCTTCCCTGAGATCCTTTATTATCCTTGAATGCAGACAGAGAAGTAAGTTTGATTGGTGCACATTATACCACTTTCAAGTTATTTCTACTTATTTCAATTTGTAGCGAGTACCTGCTGCCTTAAAGAAATATATAAAAATTATATACTAAATATATTGTTTGTCACTTTTAAATTAAGATTCATCTCATAAATCCATCACAATCTGGCAGCGCTGTCGCCATCGCTTGTCACTCAAAGTTGATGACATGCATCGGAAAATGTTTTAAAATTTCTATAGTTAGAGTTCTTAAGCTTCATTCAGAACCTCCCAATTAGTGAAATAAATTAGTGGTTTCAATTACACTTTATACTATTTAGTTTACGATTATTTAAAATGTCTAAAAAACACAATTAAAATTAATAATATATCCTAGCAACAGCTTGCAGTAATCTGTTGTATCCATAGAAAAAGCATAATATTTAGCTTATAAAACAATAAACTTGTGACTGACCAATTGCAATAGACTTGTGTGACCAACATTTTTCTTGACGGGTGAAAATCAAGGACCAAAATAACATTCCTCGCAAATTTTGAAGTATAATTAGTGGAAAAGTCGAAAGTTTGTTAACTTTTGCAACTAGTTGAGAATTACTACTACTAATTATGATGTTCTGAATGCTTACATTAAGATTAGGTGGACAAACTTCTACGCTAATTGAAACTACTAATTTATTCCACTGATTTTGAGGTTCCCAATGAAGCTTTAGTGATACTCTAATGTGTCTACTAGTTAAAGTTTCTACTAACTGAAAATTACTACCACTTATTTTGACGTTCTGAATGCTCACATTGAAATTAAAGGAACAAACTTCTACGCCAATTGAAACCATTTCAGGTTCTGAATGAAACTTTAGAACCAAATCTACCGGGAAATTTATTTTCGTGGATTCTGAATCCAATGGCTTTTTAGAATAGTATTTAACTAATAATTAAGAAAGAATATTTTGTTCTTTCATCTCAATTCAAATTCTTTCAAATCAACAAATAAAGTTAAAAATCTCACTTGCCAAAAATCTTCTGATTATTTAGGTTATAAACATTCTCATAATTTAAAAATTAAAGGGGCTTGAGTTAGTAACTAAATAAAATTCCTAAATATTAGAATTCCATTCTGAAACATCCTGCATAATTATAGGTATGTCGATTGACACATTCAATTTACACTTACGCGGAATTGGGTAACACCTAGTGAATGGATCGCCTGTATGACCCGACAGACAACTACAAATGGGGCTGTGGTTCACTACGTTACACTGAGTGTTCAGGCCGCAAGTTCCAGGGCAGGGATCGGTACATTTCTGATTGATGCACGCTTTGTTCTGAGCACATTCAGAGCTCACCGTACATTCCGGTCTGCAGTTTGGCGGATTGCCGATGTAATCCGGCAAGCAGGAACACACCGCTTGCTTATTAATTTCACGGCATTGGCTATTCGGTCCACAAGGAGATGGTTGGCAAGGATTCTTTGGCTCATCTTTGGCTACGACTGCTGTTTATAAAAGTGGTAATTTGAGTGATGTAGGTGGTTATTTCATGATTTGTTTATGCTGTGTTATAATATAAATTTTGTAGCTTATGTTATGGTTAGAATTAAGAAAAAAATATATACAGGGTGATTTACGGCGGACGATAGGTTAGACGTGTACGAAGAAGGGTGATTTTTTTTGATTGTGTATTCTTACATAAATGATCCTGCTCCACTGGCATACGCTATTCAGCGTTATTGTGTTACCGATTAAATTGAAAAGTAGTAGCATCATCGTTTAAATATAGAACACCTGGTATGTTATTACATTTATGAAAACTAGTTTCATTTCTCCATATTTTTTCTGTATGTTTTCCTATACCTATCTCTAATAATTTTTGAGATAAATATAATGCATGTGTAATTTTGACAAAAAAATAGATCTTAAAAAAAGGTAAAATTTGTACCTTATCATCGAAAAAAGGCGTCCAGTTAGCTGTGAAATGATGATCGATGCCATTTGCCATATAAATTTACATATAAAATTACAGCGATCTTCATTTCATAGCCATCGCTGACGCCGTTTTTTTCGATTAGGATAGGTTTGGCTGTAATAATACAATAGATTATGTTTTAACGGACAGCTAGTATTTTCGCTCTGTACAAAGTCAATTGGATATTATTCAGGAAGGTAAAAAAATATCTTTGATATTTTTAATTTAACCCTTTATGTATAACAGGGTGGCGCTTCTCATACGCCGCGGAAGCTCCAATGAGAACGGTAGTTTATATCGAAATGAAATTTTGGCAGCATATGTAGTTTAACTGAAAGCATTTTATAAAAATATATAGAATTATACAGGGTGTCTCCAAAAAAAGTTACACATCAAAGTTGTGTTTTTTCTAATGGAACACCCTATATATTAATTGATTTTCGGATTCTAGAAAAAAAAAAATAAAGGTGAGTTTTATTAAAGAAGCATATACCTAAAAACTAAGGATTTTGACATATTTCACATTTTGCGAAAATGAAGAGTAAATTTTAAATTTCGATAATAGCTACCTAAATTTTAGTTGACCTTGTATAGCCTGATATTTAATTACAGTAACCATTGTATGTTAAACCAGATTGAAATTTGACCCGAAAAGTTATACAGGGTTAGACAAAATTAATATGGAACATTAGTCACTTTTAAAAGCAAGTTACTTTTTATTTTAAATGGAACACCCAGTATATTTTTCCGGTGTTCAATGGGGAATTATATATCTTCAAAATATTTTTTAGGTTGCCTACCCCTCAGATAAAGATTTTCCTAGATATTTTGGTTTTATGATTTTGCGTCAGTAGATCTTTATTATTTCAAAAATCTAGGTGGCTGTGTGTGATACACCTGTTGTTAAATTAATTAATTGTAGAGTAAAATACTCAACGGTAATAAAAAGATGATTATTACAGAATTAAAACTATATATAAACCCTATAATTATGTGACAAAAATTAACTAGATGAAATCAAATGCTCAAAATGCTCCTTTCCTGTTAACTGCATAAAATGATTACAGTTGAGGGTTGGAACCTTTGGTGTTACACAGCAAAATATAAACACTAAATCACCACAATACACCAAAACACTTTTACTTTTACACTGGTTTCGCTAACCATGTTAGCATCATCAGCAGATGATTATAAACTGGAGAAGAGTTTATAATCATCTGCTGATGATGCTGACATGGTTAGCGAAACGCGCGTCCAGTGTAAAAGTAAAAGTGTTTTGGTGTATTGTGGTGATCTAGTGTTTTTATAAAATTATTGTCTTTTCAAAAGGATCTTTTTATTTTAAAAGGCGTATGTGGAGTTCTACCTCGAAAAGCAGCTACAATCATTTCTCTCATGTTGTCGACAATAGAGTTTTGTAAACACTGTCTTTAACACTCGCTTTAACATATCCCCATTAAAAAACCCGGACTAGATAAAATCAAGAGCATTTAAGCGTTCTATTAATTGGCGAATGCACACTGCATTCACCAACTAATAGAATCATATCAATTCTTTCTGATGTAGGATAAGTTTGCATTTTCGGCAAATTTCTGAGATTTTTTTTTGTTTTAACCGACACAAAATGATAACTAGTTGTTAAAGTTGGACTAATTAGACAGCTATGTTGAAGTAACGTCAGAGGTATCACAACCACCTAGATTTTATGAAATAATAAAGATCTACTCAGATCATCACATGTAAATGAAAATATCTAGGAAAACCTTTGTTTGAGGGCTAGGCAACCTTAATAGTAATTTGAAGAGACATGAATTCTCCATTGAATATCGGAATAATATACTGGGTGTTCCATTTAAAATAAAAGAGTAACATACTTTTAAAGGCGACCAACGTTCAATATTAATTTTGTCTCACCCTGTATAACTTTTTATACCAAGTTTTAATTTGATATAAAGTACAATAGTTAATTTAACTACATATTAGGCTATACCCGGTAAATTCCAATTTAGATAGCTTTTAATGTATTTTAAAAATTGTTTTTTATTTCTAGAAAATGCTAAATATGTCAAAAACCTTACATTTTAGTCATATACTTCTCTTATAAAACTCACCTTTATTTTTCTCACAGAATTCGAAAATCAATTACTATATAGGGTGTTCCATTACAAAAACACAACTTTGATATGTAACTTTTTTTGGAGACATCCTGTAGAACTTTCTATATTTTTAAAAAGTGGTCTGAATACATTTGCTCACAAATTTTCATTTCAATACAAACTGTCGTTCTCTTTGGACCCTCCGCGGCGTATGAGAAGCGTCACCCTGTATACATATAGTATACCTAATCTGTGATAGTATTCTCTGAGACAATGAAACTCTTTTAGTATCAACACTGAATCATTGCGTACCAGATTCAAACAAAACTGCATTAATGTAAGAACCCAAATATTCAAAAAAAATCTTATCACCGGTTCTGCATAAACGCCTAACCTACCATCACCATGAATAACCCTGTACACGAGTTTAAAATATAAATGATTGCTTACGTTCTGGAGGTTGCAAAGAACAATAATTGAACGGGTTGCCGGTATATCCAGGTAAACAGTAACAGTTAGGTAGATGATTAATTACTGAACATTCTGCATTGGATCCACACGTTCCCGGGCAAGGATCCTTGCACTTATTCGAAATGCAAGCTTTATTGGAGGGACAGTCGGAATTTAAAACGCATTCTGGCCTGCATCCTTCGTACGGGTTTCCTATATAATCTGGCAAACACGTGCAAGAGCCAGCGTTATTATGTTCTTTACAGATGGCGTTTGCTCCACAAGGCGACGGAACACAAGGGTTGATAATTTCGGGTGGTGGGGCTATAATATAATTTGACATGATTTACTAACCCATTAATTGTATTAGCTTGTTAAGCATTTATTAGTTATAGCATATAATAAAAAGCAAAAACTTAATAAAAAAGGCTTACGCGGTGGTAGAGCGCATGATGTGAACGGGTTTCCTGTAAATCCTTCTAGACAATAGCATTCCGGAATGTGATTAACAACTCTGCAGTTAGCATTTGTACCACACACTCCGGGGCATGGATCTTTACATTTTTCGTTTATACAGGCGAGATTAAAGGAACAATCGCTATTACTGACGCATTCCGGTCGACAATTTGGAGGCGAATTTATGTAACCCGGCAGGCAAGAACAAACTTCTTGTCCATTTATTGCTTTACATTCTGAAAATGGACCGCACGGAGAAGGTTGGCATGGTGTTTTTTGTACTTCTATTGGTTGCTCTTCTAAAAAAATAATTCATAAAAATGTAACTTTATTATATAAATGTGATATTAAAGTAGTCTTACGGATTAAAACACATTGTGTGAATGGATTTCCGGTATATCGCGAAGGACAACTACAGATTGGATTATGATTAACAACGTGACAAAGCGCTCCAATACCACAAGTGCCGGGACATGGATCGATACATTGTTTGTTTACACAGGCTTTGCTCAGGGGGCAGTCGGAACTTAAAACACATTCAGGGCGACACGAAGGAGGACTGCCGAAGAATCCAGGCACACAAGAGCAAACAGCTTGTTGATTGATCTCTCTACATTGGCTATTAGGGCCACATGGTGACGGATTGCATGGATTTTGTAAGATAATTTCTATTAAAAATAATAAAATTAATTTTTAAGTTGTTTACGGTCTAAACTATTAATAAATTACCTTGAACTTTTGAACAGAATGTAAAAGCATTTCCTGTATACCCTTCTAGGCACGTACACATAGGAATGTGATTGGTAACGATACATTGCGCGTTGGTACCACAGGTACCTGGACAAGGATCTTGACACTTGTTTCGAATACAAGCTCGACTTCGGTCACAGTCACTATTTAAAACACACTCAGGCCTGCAGCCTCTGTAAGGGTCTCCGTAGTATTCAGGAAGGCAAGTGCAAATGCCGTTGTTGCAATTGGCATTGGGTCCACAAGGTGTAGGATTACATGGATCAGCTAAAGTAGGTTCCGGGATTTTCGGTGGTTTTGGTAAACAGTAAGTAAATGGATCACCGGTAAACCCGTCAATGCAGGTACAAGTAGGAATGTGGTTAAATACGGAACATTTAGCATTGCTTCCACATGAACCTGGGCAAGGGTCTGAGCATTTTTGTTGGATGCAAGCCAAATTACTTGAACATTCTGAATTGATTGTACATTCTGGCCTACAATTTGGTGGTGCACCAAAGAAATTAGGCAAACAGGTACAAGAAGGAAGCTGATTAAGATCTCTGCATTGACTATTGGGTCCACATGGAGACGGGACACAAGGATTGACATAATCCTGGACAGGTTGTACAGGGGGTAATGCTAAAATCAATATGATTGAAGTAATTTTTATGAAAAACTATAAATGTACTTACGTGGTATCGAGAAACATTTAGTAAACGGATCACCAGTATATGTCGGAATGCAAGTACATATTGGACTGTGGTTTATAACATTGCATTTAGCATTTATACCGCAAACACCAGGACAAGGATCTGTACATTTCTGATTGATACAGGCTTTGTTTTGTGAACATTCAGAGCTTACGGTACATTCAGGTCTACAATTTGGTGGTTGGCCTACGTAATTTATTAAACAGGAACATACACCTTGCCCATTTATTTCACGACATTGACTGTTAGGACCACAAGGTGATGGATTACATGGGTCTTGAGGTTTCTGTACCACTTCAATGGCTAGAAATTTATTATGGTTATCTTTTAACCTCAAAATATATTTAACATTACCTTGTATCAAACTGCAATATGCGAAAGGATCTCCTGAATAACCTGGTAAGCAAGTACATTGAGGCAGATGGTTTTGGACATGGCATTGTGCATTTTGACCACATATTCCCGGACATGGATCTTTACATTTATTATTAATACAAGCTTTATCAGGTGAACAGTCTGAATTTACGGTGCACTCAGGTCGACAACCCTCATATGGATTACCGATATAATCTTGAATACATGAACAAGATCCTGCGTTGTTTTGTGCTTTACAGATTGCATTAGGTCCACAAGGTGATGGTGAACAAGGACTTATTATATCTTTTGGCGGTGGTACTGTAATAAATGTTTTAAAATTATATACAGAAATATTAAGACTCTTTTTTGAGTGAAAATAAAAAATAACTTACATGGAGGAGGTGAACACGAAATAAATGGATTTCCAACATAATTAGATATACATATGCAATTGGGAGTGTGACTAACTACTCTACACTCTGCGTTTTGTCCACATACTCCAGGACAAGGATCGATACATTTCTGTTGTATACATGCCAATTGGCTCGAACATTCGCTATTACTAATACATTCAGGACGACAATTAGGTGGAGATCCAATAAAACCATTTAAGCATGTGCATGCTGGTGAACCGTTAATATCTTTGCATTCGGAATTTGGTCCGCAAGGAGACGGTTGGCAAACATTAACAATTACAGGTTCCTCTAACGCTGAAAATATTAAATATGAATGAAATAAAGAATAAAAATAAAGAATAAAAATAAAGATAAAATAATTACGTTTTAATGTGCATCGGACAAATGGATCACCGATATAGTTTTGTAAGCAACTACAGATAGGATTGTGATTCACCACTTTGCAATTTGCATTTAAACCGCAGGTTCCAGGACACGGATCCATACACTTCTGGTTAACACAAGCTTTGTCTAAGCTGCATTCTGAACTGGTTATGCATTCGGGCCTGCAAGTTGGGGGGCTTCCTATATAGTTAGGAACGCAGGAGCATACTGCTTGTCCATTAATTTCTCTACATTGACTGTTGGGCCCACACGGCGATGGGTTGCATGGATTGCTAATAACCGGTTTTGGAATGACGTTACAATATATAAAGGCATTTCCGGTATAGCCATATGTGCACGTACATATAGGTATATGGTTTGTGACGGTGCATTCAGCATTTTGTCCACAGGTTCCTGGACAGGGATTGACACACTTTCTTCTAATGCACGCTTTATCTCTAGAACAGTCACTATTTAGAATACATTCCGGTCTGCATTCCCTGTATGGATCTCCTTGATAATCCGGTAAACAGCTGCAAATGCCATCTTTGCATTGAGCGTTAGGACCACAAGGTGATGGATTACATGGATCAGTTTCTATAGGCTCTGGAATTTCAGGTGGTTTTGGCGAACAGTAAGTAAATGGATCACCAACGTAATCCGGAAGGCAAGTACATATTGGTGTGTGGTTTATGACGAAGCATTGAGCGCTCACGCCACATGAACCTGGACAGGGATCTTTACACTTTTCATTGATGCAAGCTAAGTTACTTGGACATTCAGAGTTGATGACACATTCAGGTTTACAATTTGGCGGGCTTCCAAAATATTCAGGTAAACATGTACAAGATGGAGAGTTGCCAATATTTCTGCAGATAGCATTCGGTCCACATGGAGAAGGAACACACGGATCTCTTATTGGTTCAATTACCGCTGTTTGAGGTGGGGCTACAATTTGATGAAAAGCATTATGAGTTTATGGTATTTATTCATATATGTAGCCATATTTAACTTACGTGGAATGACGTAGCACCTTGTGAAAGGATCACCGGTATAACTATTTTTACAACTACATATTGGACTGTGATTAATGACTTGACAATTAGAATTTAGGCCACACGTTCCTGGACATGGATCAATGCATTTTTGACTGATACATGCTTTATCCATAGAACATTCAGAACTGACTGTGCACTCTGGTCTACATCCTGGTGGACTACCAATATAATTTGGTAAACATGAACAAACAGCTTGACCGTTCACTTCTCGACACTGGCTGTTAGATCCACAAGGACTAGGTTGGCAAGGATTTTGAGGAACAATTTCAGTAATGGCTGGAAATTTATTTCATTAATTAAGATTTCTAAAACTGATATTCTTCAAACTTACGTTCTTGTAATATAATATGGCAGTATCTAAATGGATCTCCTGTATAGCCAGGGTTGCATGTGCACGCTGGCAAGTGGTTGATTACCTGGCAATTAGAGTTTTGTCCGCAAGTTCCTGGACAAGGGTCTTTACATTTATTATTTATGCAGGCCTTGTTTGATGTACAGTCTGAGTTAATAGTACATTCTGGACGACAGCCTTCGTACGGATTTCCAATGAACTCTGCTAAGCATACGCAAGCGCCAGCTTTATTTTGAATGCGACATTCGGCATTGGCGCCGCAAGGTGATGGATTACATGGATTCATATTTTCAATTGGTTCTTGTAGCGGAATAATATTACATGAAGTAAATGGATTTCCTGTATAACCGGTAATACAGTGACAATTCGCAGCATGACTTATAACTTTACACTCAGCGTTTTGGCCGCATGAGCCTGGACATGGATCTTTACACTTTTGATTAATGCATGCTAAGTGAGATGGACACTCGCTATTACTGACACATTCAGGACGACAACTTGGTGGAACACCAATAAATTCTGGTAAGCAAGAACATGATGGGGATCCATTTATATCCTTACATTGCGAATTTGGGCCACATGGTGATGGCTGACAAGGGTTTATAGTCAGAGGAGGTTCTTCTAAGGCTAAAAATAATAAATATTTGAAAATTCGTTAATTCAAAAGTTTTATTTCTTCTTACGTATAGGACGACACCTAATAAATGGATCTCCAGTTTGTCCGTTTGAGCAGGTGCAAATTGGGTTGTGATTGACAACTTGGCATTTAGCGCCAATCCCGCAAGTACCAGGACAAGGGTCTACACATTTTTGATTGAGACAAGCTCTATTTAAAGCACAGTCAGCACTGGTAGTACATTCTGGTCTGCAAGTAGGTGGACTGCCAACATAATTGGGTAAGCAAGAGCATACTGCTTGCTGATTAATTACCCTGCACTGACTATTTGCTCCGCAAGGCGATGGAGAGCACGGATTTACAACAGGCGGAGCTATAAAATATATATGCAAATTTTATTATTGAAGTTATTCAAAAAAATATAGATGCAAGGTTTTTATAATTACCTATTACTTCAGAACAGCGTATAAAAGCGTTGCCGCTAAAACCAGGAGGACACGAACATGTAGGAATATGGTCGAATATTGTGCAAATTGCATTAATTCCGCACGTTCCAGGACAAGGATCTGTGCATTTATTTCTAATACAGGCTTGGTTTCTTGAACAGTCATTGCTAATGATGCACTCAGGTCTACATCCCTGATAAGGATCGCCTTGATATTCTTCAATACATGTGCATATTCCATTATTACAATTTGCATTAGGTCCACAAGGTGATGGATTACAAGGGTCACTTTCTGATACTACAACTACATTTATATAAGTAATAAAGCATCTGCTGACAATTATAAACGTCAATTGCTACCTTCAGTTTTTTTCGGAGAGCAGCTAATGAAGGGATCACCTGCATAACCTTCGAAACAAGTACAAATAGGAGAATGGTTTGTAACGGAACAAACAGCATTTAATCCGCAAGATCCAGGACAAGGATCCAGACATTTTTGTTTGATACACGCAAGATGACTGGCACATTCTGAATTTATTACACATTCGGGTTTACAGTTCGGTGGAAAACCTAGAAAATCTTTTTGGCAAGTACAAGAAGGCACACCACCGTTATTTCTGCACTCGCTGTTCGGTCCACAAGGTGATGGTATACAAGGATCAACTATGGCTGGTCTAAGAGGCTCTATAACGGGTGCTACAAATGTATATATTGTATAAAATTAATAAACAGTGATATTTATGTCTTACGTGGAATAGGATAACATCGAGTAAATGGATTTCCTGTGTTTTCTGCTCGACAACTACAAATTGGACTATGATTTATTACTTGACAATTAGAGTTAAGGCCACACGTTCCCAGACACGGATCTACACATTTTCTATTTACACAGGCTCTATTAAGCGGACATTCTGTACTGACTACACATTCTGGTCGACATCCAGGTGGGTTACCAATATACTCAGGTAAGCATGAACATACGGGCTGATTATTAACATTTCTGCATTGACTGTTGGGGCCGCATGGGGATGGATAACAAGGATCTATTGGCTCTTCTTGAATCGCTGGATTTAATTTGAATTAATAATAGAACTACTTTCAATTTACTCGTATCAAAACTTACGTTGAACCACTGGTATGAGATTGCAAAATCTAAATGGATCACCAGTATAACCGGGCTGACAATTGCAAGTGGGTACATGATTAATTGCTTGACAATAGCTATTGGATCCACAGACACCGGGGCAAGGATCAATACATCTATTATTGCTGCAGGCTTTGTTTGATGGACAATCAGAGTTAACGGTACATTCTGGTCGACAACCTTCGTAAGGATTTCCATTATAATTGGGTAAACAACTACATGCGCCGGCTCCATTTTGTTCTTTACATTGTGTGTTTGCGCCACACGGAGAAGGATTACATGGGTTAATCACTTCGACCGGTGCCGGAGAAGGTAAGTTACAGAAACTAAATGGATTTCCTACAAATCCGGGTAGACAGACGCAATTTGGCGTATGGCTTATTACTCGACATTCAGCATTAGTTCCACACACTCCCGGACAAGGATCTTTACATTTTTGATTGATACAAGCTAGATGATTAGCGCATTCGCTATTACTGATACATTCTGGTCGACAGTTTGGTGGTGATCCTACAAATTCTGCCAAACAAGAACAAGAGGGAGAACCATTAATTTCCCTACATTGTGCATTGGGTCCACAAGGTGATGGGTTACAAGGATCTGTTGGAGTAGCCTCTACTGGTTCTAAAAAAATAACCGTATATAACTCTACTGTTTAGATGGAGGCTATTCAGATGGAGATTATTTATGTACTTACGTATTTGAATGCAGCGAATAAATGGATCTCCGGAATATTGGAATGGACATGTGCACATGGGATTGTGGTTTATAGTTTTGCAAGTGGCTCCTATACCACAAGTACCCGGACAAGGATCCACACATTTTTGATTTAGACAAGCTTTATCAAGTGAACATTCGGAACTTGTAACGCATTCGGGACGGCAGGTTGGTGGACTACCTATGTAACCTACCACGCAGGAACAAACTGCTTGGCCATTTACTTCCCTACATTGGCTGTTTGAACCACAAGGCGAGGGATTGCAAGGGTTGGTGCGAATAGGCTCTGAAATTTAATAAGTTTTGCATGTCTACGGGATCTATGGTTAGTAAGCGAGGATAAAAATTCCGAATTCTTGACACCCGCACCGATTGACGTGAAATTTTAACAGTGAATAGAGATATAAAGTTACATAGTAGCGATGTGTGCTTTCACCCTGGGGGTGAGTGCCACCCCTTCTCGGAGGTGAAAAATAAACCACCCAGTTTGATTGCAAAAATCAATAAAGGGATGGAAGATAAGCAAAAAATGTTCTAAAACATTTTTTCAGAAAATTAATATTTGGAGTTATTTAGGATTAAAAATATTGATTTTTCATCTAAAAACAGCATATTTTTCTGCCATATTTTATAAATAACTCGAAAACCTTGCGTTTTATTGCAAAACTCATATAAAGCAAAAATGAAGCTTTTGGAATAACTAAATGATTAATTTTTTGTTGATTACCGTAGGTATAATAATAGCCGAGTTATCATTCTGTAAGGGTGATTTTTTATTTTTCGAAAACTATTTCCCGTAAAATAATTGCAACATTTTACTGTAAAATAATGGCAAAAAAACACATTTTTTGAAGAAAATGAATATGGCCATTTTAAAAGTACTTAAAAACACCTTTTAAACGCTGCTTTAAAAAAGTTCGTAGCTCAAAAACTCGCAGAGTTATGATAAAAATAAAATGGTCACCTCATTTTTAAATGTCTTGAATTGAACATTTTTACGATATTTTTGGGTTTTAAGGACTCAAAGAAGGTGGTCCTTACACGCAAATCAAAGCAAAATAACGTAATATCTGTGAAATAAAGAGATCTACAGAAAATTTAAAAGAGAGCAAAAATATTGCAAAAAAAAAAGACCTTCAATTTTACTCTGTTGCATTTTTACGTATTTTGCTTAGTTTTTGAGATATGTCAAAAAAATTAAAATTAAACTATTCTAAAATTTCACGTCAATCGGTGCAGGCGTTCAGAATTCGGACCCCTAAAATCCTCGCTTACTGGTCTATAATTATACTTGTTACTTACTAGGAACGGGATTGCAGAGAATAAAGGCGTTTCCAGTATAACCTGGAATACATGAACAAATAGGAATATGATTGACAACACTACAATCGGCATTTGTTCCACAGGTTCCTGGACAAGGATCAATGCATTTGTTTCTTATGCAAGCTAAGTTACGGGAACATTCGGTATTTAAAATACATTCGGGTCGACATCCGATATATGGATCACCATGGTATTCTGGCAAACAAGTACAAACACCATTATCACATCGAGCATTTGGTCCACAGGGTGTCACGCTACAGGGGTCTTCATAAACGGGTGCCTCTTGTGGTTTTAAAATGCAGTAGCTAAATGGATCACCAGTATAACCTTCTGGACAAGTACAAATTGGTAGATGGTTTATAACGTTACATTGCGCTGCATTGCCACAAGCTCCTATACAAGGATCACTACACTTTTGGCTTATGCATGCTAAATTACTTGAGCACTCGGAGTTAACAACACATTCTGGTCTACAATTTGGTGGCGAACCAATATACTCTTGCAGGCAAGAACAAGATGGTACTCCATTTATGTTTCTACATTGACTGTTCGGCCCGCATGGCGATGGCATACATGGATCAGTAACTTCCGCAGTAATCAATGGTATTTGCGGAGGTGGAATAGGATAGCATCTAGTAAATGGATCACCGGTATGGCCTACGTTACAGCTACATATTGGATTGTGATTGATAACTTGACACTTGGCATTTAATCCGCAGGTTCCTGGACAGGGATCGGAGCATTTTTGATTTACACAAGCCTTATTCAAAGCGCATTCGGAACTGACAGTGCATTCGGGTCTACATCCTGGGGGACTTCCGATATAGCTTGGTAAACAAGAACAAACGGCTTGCCCATTTACTTCGCGGCACTGACTGTTAGGGCCACATGGACTTGGATTACATGGATTTGTAGGTATAATTTCATCTTGAATGGCTAAAAATATTAGTGTTCTGTGAGACATTCTATGTTATTAGAATTAGAATAAATAATACAATAATCCATTCAATAACGCATCGATTATAAAAGGATCTCTATGGACCAATAAAACGATTAAGTTTAAGAAACCGCGGAAAGTGAGGCGGTTTTAAAAAATATGCGTTAAATGGAGAGAACTACTCTATTTATTTTTCTTACGTTCAGGAAGAACTCTGCAGAATCTGAATGGATCCCCTGTATAACCCGTACGACATGTACACATAGGTAGGTGGTTAATAACTTGACAATCAGCATTTTGTCCGCATGTTCCAGGACAAGGGTCTCGACACTTATTGTTAACACAAGCCTTATTGTATGGACAGTCCGAATTCAACGAACATTCTGGTCGGCAGCCCTCGTATGGATTACCAATATATTCAGGCAGACAAGTACAAGCTCCAGCTCCGTTATGTTCTTTGCATTCAGCGTTTGAACCACAGGGCGATGGATAACATGGATTTAAAATTTCGGGAGTTTGTTCTAAAAAATCGTGTGAGAAAATAGAGAAACTATTTTAGTATATTTTTAACTTACGGGGCTGAGGGTAACATTCGCGGAATGGGTCTCCTATATATCCTTCGATACAAATGCAGTTTGGTGTGTGGCTTACTACCCGGCAATCTGCGTTTATACCACAAGTACCGGGGCATGGATCTTTGCATTTGTTATTAATACATGCTAAATTATAGGAACATTCACTATTTGATACGCATTCAGGTTTGCAATTGGGTGGAAGACCAACAAAGTTCGGTAAACAGGAACATGACGGTGATTCACCAATTACTCTGCATTCCGAATTGGGACCGCATGGGCTTGGTTGACATGGATTAACTGGACGACTTACTACTGGTTCTTCTATATTAAGTGAAAAATTAGACTTAAATATATAAAAATTAAAATTTATATAAACGTATGTACCTTGAATGGGGGTGCATCGTATAAATGGATCTCCTGAAAATTTATTTCGGCATGAACAGATAGGACTATGATTAACCACTTGGCAGTTTGCATTAATGCCGCAAGTCCCGGGACAGGGATCTATGCATTTCTGATTAACGCATGCTTGATTTAATAAACATTCTTGACTTGTTACACATTCTGGTCGGCAATTAGGTGGACTACCAATATACCCAATTACGCAAGAGCATATCGCTTGCCCATTCACTTTTTTACATTGGCTGTTGGGACCACATGGTGAAGGGTTGCAAGGGTTTTTAGGTGCCTCCTCTAAAATATTAAACGATTTAAGACAATGAAAAGAAAAATTTGCAGTGACATAGAGGTAAACGGATATTTAACCGAATTTTTAGAATTAACATAACTATCTAATTTTAAATCTTGGAACATATTGTCCGAATGATACTATTTTAACTTCAAAATTCAAATCTAGATATTTTATAATATCTTAAAGATAAGAAGGCAATTTTTCTGCTATGTATGTTCATAATAATTACCTCTTATAGGAGAACAGACCAAAAATGCATTTCCTGTAAAGCCGACTCTGCAAGAACACATGGGAATGTGGTTGATTACGTTACATTCAGCATTTTGTCCACAAGTACCAGGACAAGGGTCTTTACATTTCCTTTGTATACAAGTTTTGTCCCTCGAACAGTCGTTAGGATACACACATTCGGGCCTACATTCTTGATATGGGTCGCCTAAGTATTCTGGCAAACACGTACATATACCATTATTGCATCGTGCATTAAATCCACAAGGATTTGGATAACATGGATCTGTTTTATTCTGGATTTTTTCCGGTAGTTTTAGATTGCAATAACTAAACGGATCGCCAGTAAAGCCATCAGGGCATGAACATATAGGAATATGGTTGGTTACGGTACATTGAGCACCCGCTCCACAAGATCCTGGACAAGGGTCCCTACATTTTTCATTTATACAAGCCAGATTACTAGTGCAATCTGCGTTTATGGAACATTCAGGCCTACAATTTGGTGGGCTGCCTATATAACTCGACAGACAAGAACAAGAAGGTAAACCGTTTATGTTTCTACATTGGCTATTGGGACCACAAGGTGATGGTATACAAGGATCCGTTAATACTACTGGAACTATGTCTAGTTGAGGCTCTAAATATAAAGGAATATTCATAAAAACTATTAACAATAAAAAAAAATAAGAAATCTTACGTGGAATTGGATAGCATCTGGAAAATGGATCTCCCGTAAATCGATCTTTGCATGAACATATCGGACTATGTGTTACTACTTTGCAAATTGTATTCAAGCCACATGTACCTGGGCAAGGGTCGGTACATTTCTGATTAATGCAAGCTCTATTTAGAGCACATTCGGAACTAACTGTGCATTCTGGCCTACAGTTTGGTGGATTTCCAAAATAATTTGGCAAACATGAGCAAACGGCTTGGGTATTTACTTCTCGACACTGACTATTGGGTCCACAAGGTGAGGGGTTACACGGGTTTAATGGAAGTAGTTACCTTGTCAGCTAAAATTATTATATTATATAACCTGTATAAAAAATGGTATAAAATTGTATTACCTAATAATGGTATAGCACTGCAATATCTAAATGGATCACCGGTAAATCCGGGATTACAACTGCACGATGGAAGATGATTAATAACTTGGCACACGGCATTGGATCCACATGTACCTGGACAAGGGTCTTTACATTTATTTCTAATGCATGCTTTGTTCGATGCACAATCCGTATTAATGGAACATTCAGGTCTACAACCTTCATAAGGGTTACCGATAAATTCAGGTAGACATATACAAGAGCCAGCTCCATTTTGTTCTTTACATATAGCGTTAATACCACATGGTGATGGACTGCAAGGATTTAAAATTTCAGTAATCGGTGATTCTTGTAAAGTACATTCGAAGAACGGATTTCCAACATATCCTGGTATGCAGACGCAATTAGGAACATGACTAACAACTCTGCATTGTGCATTTGATCCACAGACGTTAGTACAAGGATCTTTACATTTTCTATTTAGACAGGCCAAGTTATTAGGGCATTCGCTGTTACTAACGCATTCGGGACGACAATTTGGTGGCGTTCCAATAAAATCAGGTAAACAGGAACAAGACGGAGATCCTCGCATATCGCGGCATTGAGAATTAGGACCACAGGGAGATGGTACACACGTATTTTCTTGAATGACAGGTTGAGTCTCTTCCACTAAAATAATCGATTCATTTAAATTTTTACATGAAAACATTTTTTGAGATCATAACTTACATATAGGGAAACATCTGGTAAATGGATCTCCACTGTATTTTGGTCGACAACTGCATATTGGATTGTGATTGATGACGTGACAATCAGAATTAATACCACATGTACCTGGGCAAGGATCCATACATTTCTGATTTAAGCAAGCTTGGTTTAAGGGACATTCAGAGCTAGTAATACATTCCGGCCTACAAGTAGGGGGATTTCCAAGATATCCTGGGACGCAAGAACACACTGCTTGTCCGTTGTATTCTCGACATTGACTATTAGGACCACAAGGTGATGGGTTACATGGATTTTTTGGAGCTTCCACTAAAGTAAACGTTATGGTAAAATTTTTTTTAGGCTACTTTTAAAAATATATTTACCTGGAATGGGATTACATAAAACAAAAGCATTTCCTGTATATTTTTCTTGGCATGAACACATAGGTATGTGATTAATTACAGAACAAACGGCATTAGTACCGCAAGTTCCTGGACATGGATCCTTACATTTATTTTTTAAACATGCCCTATTTTTAGGACACTCGTTATTTAATATACATTCAGGTCGACAACCTCTATACGGATCGCCTTGATATTCAGGAAGACAGGTACAAATACCATTATTGCATTGTGCATTTGATCCACAGGGTGATGGATTACATGGATCTGATTCCACAATCGGTTCTTCGATAGGTTTGAGATGACAATAATTGAAAGGATCGCCTATATATCCATCCAAGCAAGTACAAATTGGCACATGATTTAATACAGAACAGTGCGTATTTGTGCCACATGAACCCGGACATGGATCTTTACATTTTTCTTGAATACAAGCCATATTACTTGGGCATTCTGAATTTATTAAACATTCTGGCTTGCAATTTGGTGGAGATCCAATATAATTTGGTAAACAGGAACAAGATGGCGTATTACCGATATTACGACATATCGAATTCAAACCACATGGCGATGGAATGCATGGATCACTAACAGGTGCTATGGCGGTTTCGAAAGTTGGTGCTGAAATCAAGCAGTGCTTATGAAAAATAATACTATTTTAACTAAGATAACTCTTACGTGGAATAGGGTAGCATCTGGTCAATGGATTTCCAGTAAATCGAATATTGCAACTGCAAATTGGACTATGGTTGATTACTTTACATTGAGCGTTGATGCCACATGTTCCTGGACATGGGTCAATACATTTTTGACTTTTGCAGGCCTTATCTGCTGAACATTCGGAGCTAATAGTACACTCAGGCCTACAGTTAGGGGGACTACCAAGGTAACTAGGTAGACATGAACAAACTGCTTGTTTATTTACTTCACGGCATTGGCTGTTAGGGCCACATGGAGATGGCTGACATGGATTTACCTGAATTTCCTCAGATATTGCTACAATATTATAAAAATTAACGTTAAATTCAATTTTCAAGTTTTTAAATTATCTTACGCTCAATAACAATTACTCGACAGAAGTTGAATGGATCACCGGTATAACCCTGTAAACAAGTGCATAAGGGAATATGATTTATTACTTGACAATTAGCATTCTGTCCACATGTTCCGGGGCAAGGATCAATGCATTTATTTCTGATACAAGCTTTATTTTGCGGACAATCAGAATTTAAAACGCATTCTGGCCGACAACCTTCGTAAGGGTTTCCAATATAATCAGGTAAGCATGCACATGAACCTGCTCTGTTCTTTTCTGTGCACCTTGCATTGGGTCCACAGGGTGATGGTTGACAGGGAGTAATTATTTCTTGAACGGCGACAGTTACTGGCGTGCATTGACTGAAGGGATCGCCCACAAATCCATTTTTACAAATACAGTTTGGAGTATGACTTACGACTCGACATTCGGCATTAGTACCGCATACACCCGGACATGGATCCTTACATTTCCTATTAATGCAGGTTAGATGACTGGCACATTGGCTATTACTTATGCATTCTGGATGACAGTTTGGTGGGATTCCGATAAACTCTGTAAACAGGCACATGAAGGATTACCGTTAATATCATTGCATTCGGCGTTAGGACCACACGGAGATGGTTGACATGGACTTTGTGGTGATGGCTGTATATCTTCTTTTACTAAAATTTAGCAGTTACATAATTTTTATTTGACAGTGCGTTAAAAACCTACTTTCAAGAACGCATCTTGTAAATGGATCTCCAGTATATCCATCAGGACATATACATATTGGATTGTGGTTAATTGTCATACATTTTGCAGAAATTCCGCATGTACCAGGGCAAGGATCGATACATTTTTGGTTAACACAAGCTTGTGTTAACGAACATTCTGAACTGGTTGTGCATTCAGGTCTACATGTTGGTGGACTACCTATAAAACTAGGTACACAAGAACAGACAGCTTGATTGTTGATTTCTCTACATTGACTGTTGGGGCCACAAGGTGAAGGATTGCAAGGATTCTTTGGTTTTTCAACTAAAATTGGATCATATATTAATTTTATTAACATTAACATTTATTATAATATCTTACTTTCGGCGAGACGACAAGAAATAAAAGCATTTCCGACATACCCACTTCGACAACTGCAAATTGGGATGTGATTAATAACTTGACAAGTTGCGTCCGTTCCACAAGTGCCTGGACAAGGATCGACACATTTTAATCGGATACATGCCATATTCCACGGACAATCATTATTAAGGGTACATTCAGGTTTGCACCCTACATACGGGTCACCTTGATAATCTTGCAAGCATGTGCAAATACCATTAGCACAGTTGGCATTAGATCCGCAAGGTGATGGATTGCAGGGATCTGTTGCTTGAACATGCTCAGTGATTACCGGTTTTAAATAACAACTAGTGAATGAGTCTCCTGTATAACCGGGTGCACAACTGCACACCGCATGGTGATTTTGAACATGACATACAGCGTTTGCACCACAAGATCCGGGACAAGGATCGACGCATTTCTCTCGGATACAAGCGAGATTGCTTGGACAGTCTTGATTAATTGTACACTCGGGTCTACAATTGGGAGGAGCGCCTATATATTGGGGCAAACAAGAGCACGAGGGAGTTCTTCCATTATTAATACATTGAGAGTTCGGACCACATGGTGATGGAATGCACGGATTTATTTCAATATCTTCTGTGATAACGGGTGGAGCTAAAATTTATTTATTAATATACATACAGTGTTACTAAATGACTCGAATGCCTAGCATCGACAACTCTATTATTATTTCAAATATCATCTTATAACTCCTAACATAATATTTGTAAAAAAAGTTGTAAAAACGTTGAATTTAGCAAGTATAATAAATAAAAAAACAGTTTTATAATAATGATAAAATATTGCTATGATCATACAATTTAGCTTTGTATCTTTGGTGTTAACCGAAAATTACACAAATTAACCCTAATACACCAAAACTTTTTTTAAAACTTGCACTGGATGCAAGTTATTTCAAATCGTATTGTTTTTCAAGTGAGTGTTTCTGTTGTTAATTGAGAGTGGAATATCCAAGAAACTGTGAAAACTGAAGTTAAAGTATTATCGTGGATTGAAGAAATAAGAAGATGCATAACCTTATGGACGATTTCGTGGCACAAAAGGTGTCCGAGATGTAGCTGGCGTTACCATCAGGATGTCCGAGATTTAGTTTAGCTCTGCGCCGCTGCGCGCTGATAGTCGTTTACAGCGCAGCGGATAAAGTATACTGTATTGCAGTTGTGCTTTCACTCGACAGAGTGGGTGGTTATCGGAGACAGTGTTGCCAGAACTACGGATTAATCTGTAGATTTACGGATTTTGGGTACAGTACGTTAATTAATACGGATTTTTATCATTAAATAATTTAATTTAACATAATATTATATGATTAAACAAAGAGTGACATCAGAATTGCCTTGGAAATAAAGATTGCTGTTATTTCATACGTAAAATATTAGGGTAAATGTCAATAATCGTCATTTCCAAGCCAACTAAACGACTTTTTTCGATTATACGAAATATTCAGTAGCTATAAAAGAATTTTTATTTTTGTTGTTTTAACACGAATAAATTTTCAGTACATAAACGCGGATTTTTCATTCAAAGATATTATCGTTAAACGTATTACAGACATTACACATTTTAATATGGCAAAACTGTCGCTTTCAGTTCCACACCGTCTTCGATATGCCTTCGCTGGCCGAATTAGAGAAACTGAGTGCTGTATGCGTTAGCCGCAGAACGAGTGGTGTCACCACCGCACAGCACTTGTGTGTAGACGTAAGGGGAAATCAAATCAGCCTTGTCACGAATTCGCCCATTAGTTTGCGTATCTCCACAATTCTTCCAATCAACGGTATTATTTAGAAAATATGATCTTGGAAGACGTTCATTATTTATATCATCACAATAATTGAACTGATTGAAGCATACTGAAAAAAGTTCAAGAAGTTCATAAAAAGTAATAAATTATCTAAGTATTCAATAAATATCTTGAACATGTTATATTACTCACCGCTAGAAAACTTAAAATTAGTTCTTATTAAATTCATCATCATAAATTTAGTTTATTTATTTAAAATCATCTTTAATACTAACAGAGTTATCAATGGTAGACGCTGAAAGATTATCTTACGTGGTATTGGAGTACAAATAGTGAACGGATCACCCGTAAAACCATTCCTGCAAGTACAAATAGGACTGTGATTAATAACTTGACATTTTGCCTGAGAACCGCATGTTCCTGGACAAGGATCGGCACACTTTGTATTGATACATGCTTTGTTTAAGGGGCATTCGGACGATATGACGCATTCGGGCTTACATGCCGGCGGACTGCCGATGTAAGAGGGCAAACAAGAACAAACTGACTGCTCATTTATAACTTTGCACTGACTATTTGGACCGCAAGGTGATGGGAAGCACGGATTCTGTTTTTCTACTTGTACAGCTGAAATTATGAAATTGTGAGAAAATGAATTATAATAGAAAGTATTTATAGTCAGGAGCTAGCCACGTCAATAAAGAAAACTTTTTGTAAAGCTGAATTTTTTTATATTTCCTTTAAATAAAGGAAGCAGAATTGCTTTCTTGGTCAGTATGCCGGCTATTTGGCTGGTTGTCTAGAAGTTGGTTTGACTGTAGGTAGGCATACCTATAAAGGTATGTAGTAATATTATTTTTTTTCCAGTAATCTCAAGAAAATTATGATAGCTAGTTTTCTGGTACTAGAAATAACAGTTTTTGGTTTGATTTGGTTTGGTTATTGTAGTTTAGTTATTATTAGATCGAAAAAAACCTTAAAGAAACAATTAAAAGTTTATGCTGAGAAATTATTGGAAGATTCATGAAAATGATTATCCATAGTATAACTATGGGTGGGGAAATGCTATCCAGCTTCGAAAATTTTAGGAATGCCCAGTATTGATCTTGCTAGATGCGAGTTAGTGTTTAAAAAACATAAAAATTAACGGGAAGGACATACTGAACGACACATTTTTGATTTCTTTTTTGTTTCTTCATGCAAAACTTTAGTTAAAATTAAAGGGTAGAATGATTACAGGGTGGTCCGAACTGTATTCCGGAAACTTCGGCAGCATATTCTGCAGATAAAAATAAGTAAAAAGTTCGTATAAATGTACGTCTTAAAATGCTTAGTGTCGGAGATACAGGGTATAGAAATTTCATTTTTATTTCGATTTTTTTCAAATAATTTCTGAAGTAACGTGAATATTTGCATGAAAATTGGTGTCTGGAAGTTTTTTGACATGAGAAATTTGATTTTGATGTCAATATGATTCTTAATTGTAGAGGGCGCCACCTATATATTTTTAGCTGGTTTGAAGAGTAATAACTTTTCGTCCGTACCTGTATAAAACTACTGAGTAAAAAAATACACATTTACGAGGTATTTTACGTAAAAATGGTCACTTGGTAAAAATTACTACGAGTAATGGTTCTCCAGATATTTGGAATAGAAATTACATATTGACATCATCATTGACATAAATTAATTATGTTGACTAAATAGTTATTAGACTGAAATCATAAATTTGAAATTTTTTGTGTGTCAAAAGTTCAACAGAAACTGTTTTTTGGTTAGTTTTTTTTATAAACTGTTTTTATAATTAATTTAAAACAATAAAAAATTCCCAAATTTATCATGTTAGTCAAATAACTATCTACTCAAATGTTTATTTTTTGTCAATAATGACACTTATTGACTATTTCCATTCTAAATATCTTGAGAACGGTTGCTCGTAGCAATTTTTTCCAAGAAACCGTTTTTACGTGCAAAATCACGGAAATGTATATTTTTGTACTCAGTAGTTTTATACAGGTACGAACGAAAAGTTATTACTCTTCGAAACAGTTAAGGCACATGTAGGTGGCGGCCCCTACAAACAGGAGTCATATTGACATCAAAATCGAATTTCTCATGTCAAAAAACTCCCAGACACCAAGTTTCATCCAAATATTGACGTTATTTCAGAAATTATTTGGAAAAAATCGAAATAAAAATTAAATTTCTACACCCCGTATCTCCGAAACTAAGCATTTTAGGACATACATTTATAAGAACTTTTGTACTTATTTTTATCTGCAGAATATGTTGCACAAGTTTCCGGAATACAATTCGGACCAACCTGTAGATCTGGCAGAACTGAAACCTGGATGTAGATCCATTAAGACTCTTTTTATTATAAGAAAATAGAGTACTTGACCTACAGGCTAACCAAGGGACCAAACGAGATATCATAATTTGCTGTACTAAAATTCTGTCCCAAAAAAGTTGCTAGCTCCCAACTATAACATTAAATCTCCTTACGTTCTGGGGCGGGCAAAACACAATATCTGTAGGCATCACCGGTAAATCCGTTCAAACAAGTACAAGTCGGGGCATGGTTAATGACACGGCATTCGGCATTCGTGCCACAAGTTCCAGGGCACGGATCGGAGCATTTGTTCCGAATGCAAGCTTTATTCGAAGCACAGTCCGAATTGTGGATACATTCTGGCCGACAAGACTCGTAAGGATTTCCGATGTATTCGGGTAGACATTGACAGGCTCCTGCACCGTTTCGTTCCGTGCATACCGCATTGGTACCGCAGGGTGACGGGTTACATGGGTTTATGTATTCCGTTTCAGGAATACGTTCTAAAATCAATAGTGGAGTGCTTTAAGCCCTTATGGGATACAAACCTCGGAATTCATTTACTGTGAACGTATTTTTATAAAAAAAATTGCATTGTATTGTTAATCAGATATATTATAAAGTTTACCTATTTAAATTCGTTGCTTTCACTTTAGTATTTAAATAAACACGCATATACAAATGCATACATACAAGATGGCCCCGTGTTCCGAAAAATCTCTGTATCAGGATTCCTATTTGAGATTTTCATTCCAAACCTTTTACAAAACGTGTTTAATGGCTAGCGCACATTTCAAAAATCTTTTTATAGATATACAAGGTGAGTCAAATATATTTTTACACTTAAGTTTTAGTTTTTCAAATGAAATGTATATTTGTTTAGTTCAGTGAATTTGCTATAAAATTCCGCTTCCAAAAATACCTTAATACCATAGAATATACTGAGTTGTTTCAGAATTATGACCACGTCCATGAGGACGTCAATTTAGACGTCCAGGAACCTTCGTATGAGAACTTCTAATCAAGACGATCGATTTATTGTAAGTTTATCGCTAAGAAACCGCCACTTGCCAGCTTTTCAAATTTATAATGAATTGCACCTAAGGAACATACATATTAAACTAACGCGCTATAAGAAGAACACTAAATGAAGCGAATCTTATGTCAAGAAGGCGTGCTTCGGGACCAGAACTTACTAGATCTGTTTACTAGGACCAAAAGCAAAGGCATGGTCTTAATGTAAAAATTACGAAAAAATGTTAGTGTCTTCTTCAAAAGCGAATATTTCCAATAAAAATAATGCTAATGAGGTGAATCAAAAAACTAACTATCGAGAAAGGATGTATCTAGGTGATAAAATTATTTTTAAATTTCTTGCTGTTTTAACATATTCCACAGGGTGTTTCAAACTTTCACCAAAATATCAACATTTTATTTTCCCTCGTATAATTAACAGATGGGGAGTTTCATTTTTAATTTAAAAAAAGATATTAAAAAGTTAAATAATTTTGCATATACTGCTTAAAAAATCATCAAAATCGGCCCACTAGAACAAAATATATTAAACTTTAAAATACATCAAAGTTTTAAGGTGCCCATTTTTCGTGCCGGTGAATGTATTTCAATAACTATACATTTTAGTTATATACATTTCTAATGAAACTCGACTTTATTTTTTTACTAGAATCCAAAAATCAATGAATATATAGGGGGTTCCATTACAAAAAACTCAACTTTAATGTGTGTAAACTTAACTTTTTTTGGGGACACCCTGTAGCATTCTATATACTTTTAGAAAATGCTTTAAATTGACTTACATAAGCTCACAAAATTTCACTTCAATACAAACTTTTGTTATCTTTGCAAAAACCGCGTGGTATATGACGCGCCACCCTGTATCATTCGGTTTCAAGCACCTCGGAATTCAATTACTGTGAATGTATTAATGTGAAACCTTCTGTATTGTGTTTTATGGATAAAATACTAAAATGTTTACCCATTTTTTTCGTTGCTTTTAATTTTCTATTTTAGTAAATTCTTAGTTATTTCCTTCTTAATTTTTTGTTTTTTTTTTAATTTTTTTTTCTTAGTAAATTTATTGAAATAAATGAATCTAATGCATAAGCTATACCTATTCTACTTATATTCTAATCATTAAAATTTTGCTTGAAACCGAATGATACAGGGTGGCGCGTCATATACGACACGGTTTTTGCAAGGAGAAGAAAAGGTTTTATTGAAGTGAAATTTTGCGAGCTTATGTAAGTCAATTTACAGCATTTTCTAAAATTATATAAAGTTCTACAGGGTGTCCTCAAAAAAGTTACACATCAAAGTTGTGTTTTTTTATAATGGAACACCCTATATATTAATTTTCGGATTCTAGTAAAAAAATAAAGGCGAGTTTCATTAGAAAACTATAGGACTAGTAGTTTTTGAAATACATTCACCGGCACAAAAAATAGGTACCTTAAAACTTTGATGTATTTTAAAGTTTAATATATTTGGTTGTAGTGGGCCGATTTTGATGATTTTTTAAGCAGTATGTAGCCAAATTATTTGATTTTTTATATCACTTTCTAAATTAAAAATGAAACTCCCCATTTGTTAATTATACGAGGGAAAACAAAATGTTGATATTTTGGTGAACATTTGAAACACCCTGCGGAATATGTTAAAACAGCAAGAAATTTAAAAATCATTTTATCATACTTATATACATCTTTTTTCGATGGTTTGTTTTTTGGTTCATCTCATTAGCTTTATTTCTGTTGGAGATATTCGCTTTTGAAGAAGACACTAACATTTTTTCATAATTTTTACATTAAGACCATACCGTTGCTTTTGGTCCTAGTCAACAGATCTAGTAAGTTCTGGTCCCGAAGCAGGCCTTCTTGACATAAGATTCGCTGCACTTATTGTTCTTCTTATAGTGCGTTAATTAATATGTACGTTCCTTAGGTGCAATTCATTATACATTTTTTGAAAAGCTGGCAAACGGCGGCGGCGCGGCGGTTTCTTAGCGATAAACTTACACTAAGTCGATCGTCTCGATTAGAAGTTCCCATACGAAGATTCCTGGACGTCTTGATTAACGTCCTCATGGACGTGGTCATAATTCAAAAACCATTCAGTATACTTTATGGTATTAAGGTATTTTTGGAACCGGAATGTTATAGCAAATTGACTGAACCAAACAAATATAAAGCATTTCATTTAAAAAACTAAAACTTAATGTAAAAATATATTTGACCTTACCATGTATATCTATAAAAATATTTTTGAAATGTAAACTACCATTAAACACATATTTTGTAAAAGGTTTGGAGTGAAAATCTCAAATAGGAATCCTGATACAGAGTTTTTTCGGAACACGGAGCCATCTTGTATGTATGCATTTGTATATGTGTGTTTATTTAAATACTAAAGAGAAAGCGACGAATTTAAATGGGTAAAAAAAATTGTAATATATCTTATTAACAATACAACGCAAAAAGTTTTTTAAAAATTCGTTCACAGTAAATTAATTCCGAGATTTGTATCCCATAAGGGCTTAAAACACTAATTTAAATGTTGTTACGTTAACCGTCACATTAAGCGATTAGAGCTCTAGAAAATGCCAGGATGCGATTATTCCTCTTTTAGTCATAGCTTTAACTCTATTTCTAGCCTTTTTTATTCGTTTTACTTTTTATTATATGCTTTTGCGATGGTGGTATGTATGTGAATTATTTTTAGATAAGCGCTTCGGGGGGTCGGGGTATTGGGTGGTTGTGTGATGATAGTGATGGGGGGTCGCATTTGTAAACCTTTCTCTCAGTTATATATTTCCAAGCGGGGGTTGGGGGGCGGGGGGTGGTTATTTGTCTGGGGGATTTATATAGCTTTAACTTGGCGGGGAGCGGGCGGTGTTGTGATAATATAGCAAAAATGTTGAGGCGCTGCTGTTGAAGCTCGTTATCGTTGGGGGATCTTTCTTACCTGCGAATCCCCGTAGCAAAAGCGATTTAGTTTGTACAGCCAATATCTATCTTTACTACATTCTATTATTATTAAAACATTTAAAATCTGCTTTAGAGTATATCTAGAAATTATGGAATGATTAAATAAACAATGAATGTTAAGAGGTAAACTGAAGCAGATCGCTAAATATTTTAATGCCAATTTATCAAACTGGTAACCATAAATTCATGCATTTGGAAGAACAAAACCAAATTAGATTGCTCTGATCCTAAATATTTATTTCAAAATTTGAATGTTTTGAAATATGAATTTTCTCCGCTTTTCAAAGATCGTTTAGATGTTAATCTATAAAAAATACTATATTGTTTTTTCCAAAAAAATCCTTTATCGGTATTTCGCCACTGCACAACAAATGTCAGCATTCTTGGGACACAGGGCACAGAATAAATTTTAATAACGCCAAAATTATAATGAAAGAAGCGATAGCCTCTAAAAGAAAAATAAAAGAGGCTTTTTTAATTCAATTTAATAAAAATAAATGTATTGCTCATGCATCTGTAGATGTTAGTAATGTATGGCAATCGCTTCTTTGATTTTAAAGAACAATAGATACAACAAGATAAATAAACATAACATACGTAAAATTTAAAAATAATCATACAGAAAGTTTGGGGCTTTTTGGTTTTACTTTATTAAGTAATTGTTATCAGGTAGTAATTGTTAATTTTGAAGTTTAAATATCAAGTTAAAAATGTCATTTTAACAGAACATCAACGGTTTCTTGTAGACGTATCTGTTTTAAAAAAGTAAAGTGTTCTCAAATAGGTGAATTTAAATATTTTAAATAGTTTTTTTCTTTATTCTTTGTATTTTTTTTTGCTTCCGACGACGGAAAGAGATGTTAGGCAAATTTGTATTACTATAAACATAACTTCTGACAAGCAGCGTCCGTTTAGGTTTAACGCAGAAGTGTTTACAAAAAATAATTATTTTATTTTGTAGATTTTCTTGCAGAGCAGTGGCGAAATACCCATAAAGGATTTTTTTGGAAAGATGAATCCGCTACATAGGTATAGACATTTTTTACTATATTGTTATTAAGACATAGGACTTTTTCCCTAATTGCGTTATAAAATATTGTTAAACTGTTTATACTTTTAACTAATAAAAAAAATAAAACAATTTTGAAAATAATAAACAATGGACAGAGAGCTGATTAAGAATAAATATTTTTTATTATAGTTTTTTAACTTTAAAGGGTTTAAAAGGTTGATTTGGGTTGCAAAGAATATTGGTCTTTATAAATTATCATTATCTATGGTTTACTTAAAAAAAATCACAATTCAAAAAATTGTAATTTTTGTTTTTATTAAATATGAGATTTTGTTGTTGCGTTTTTAATTAATTTTTATCTTATTAAATTTGTTAATTTTTAGTTATTTATATTTTTTGCATATGAATTAATTAAAACAGTATGACATTTCTTAGTTCATTTTTATGTTGTTTCCATAATATACCGATAAGCTTTGCAAAACTATTT